CGAAATAGAAGATGACAAAAAATAATACATTAGGATAAAGTGCATCGGTTTAAATTTTAACATTCAAATAACAAGGAGATCGAATTTTCTTTTTTCATCATTATAAATGATTTCAACTCAAACAACTTAATTACTTGCTTTTTTGGGTACAAAAAACAAATAATTCTTAGAAAGCTAACACTCGAAATTATTAATTAAATATTTATGGAGGCTTTTGTATAATAAAAGTTGTTCAAATGACTTATTTTTTGCATGTGAAATAAAATATGATAATGGGTTATCATAATAAATTTGTTGTTTATTACCGACCAATCATTAGAATGCAGTCATAAATAGACAAAAGGATATGAAAATTTCACTGACATAAAAAGATAATATACAATATGCAGATATAATATGTATTGTTTTACAAGGAAGCAACCATATAATTCAGGGTAAAGACAACAATCAAGGGTGAGCTAAGGTTGAAGGACATGGTCCCAATCATGTATATGATCTTCCACCCATCTCATATCAAACCGACACATCATATAGAATCATATATATATATATATATGTATAGATATATTGGTAGTAAAATCTGCAGAAAGAAGATAGATAAAACACAAATATTGTAACTTTTGATTTACAATTTAAAAAAAAATTATAAATTGAAAACGATTTGAACGTGGCGTAGACTTGAACCAGAAGAAAAAGAGGAACCAAGAGAGAGACTCGGATTCTGAAGAAGATAATAAGCTGGTCTTAAATTTTGATATTTCCTACTCTCTAGCAAGAGACGGTTTGGTCAAAATGTCAAATGGGGATGCTAACTAATTCTATTGGACTGCCTTGACTAAGCTATTATGGTAAAAGCATCAATTCAATCAGAGAAGAACAAAAAGCTTATTCTTTATCCCCCCCAAAAAAAGAGAAAAAGAAGAAAGAAAAGATTATCCACAATGGAATTTTGATTTCTTTGTCCAAGTCCCTCACAAAATTATAAACACGAGAACTTACAATGCAGTTCATACTAGCTACGAGAATATGAAAGTGAGCATGCAGTTCACAAATCTCCCGCTACGAGAATATCTAATGATATGAAAAATAGAAAGAACACTTACAAACTTCAGGACATGAAATCTTATTGTCAGAAAACCTTAGGCTCATACTTGATCATGACATGATAATGACAGTTTACCTAAATGACAACCAGGACAACTAAAGAAGTCTCTTATGTATCCAATGGAACTTGCTATTTTATGTAGGAAATTATGATGATTCAAAGACATAATGCCTTGGTGGTAACTTTAACTTCCTTAACATTATAACTAATGTCAATGTTATGTTCCCTGCTCCAAGATATTATTCTGTAAGCATAGATAATTGTTTTCCTTCACCTAGTCTGATACAGTCTGCAGATCACAGAGTCGCAAGATACCTAACCCTCGATGCTTCAACCACCAAAGATGTTTAAGCAGTTAATAGAGCAGTTTCAGAAAAATATAAGATTAGATAGTTTCTAGTAGTTAATTACAGTTATTGTATTAGATAAGCAGTTATGTTTCTTTCCTATTTAAAGCTTGTATGTCTAAGAAATTGAAATAAGAATATTCAATAATGAAATTGTGGTTGACTTCTCACCCTAAGGCGAAATTGTCTTTAAATCTATGTTTGCTCTTATTGAAACCCCATTAATTGGTATCAGAGTAGGGAATATCGACTAACAAAGAAAGAATCGAACACTTAGAAACAAGTGTGGGGGGGTCTGCAGGATCACCTCAGCTGAATGGAAATCGGTGTGGCAGACAAACTTCACACGATGGAAGAAACCCTTTGGCGATTGACAGAAACTTTGAGCCTCAACAAAGAAAGCTCTAACAGCAACGCGGTTGGTCAGCAAGGTCAAGCATGGCAGACCAGAGACAGTGGCATGGAGCGGATTGAAGGAAACCGACCCTCACTGAGTCCGCGACTGGGACGCCTCGACTTTCTGATCTACGACGGTACAGATCCCACCGCATGGATAAGTCGGGTTGAGCAATATTTTGATTTGCAGGATACCCCGGAAGCAAACAACGTGCCGTTGACGGCTTTTCATCTGGCAGGGGAGGTAAATCTCTGGTGGCTGTGGATGAAGAAGACACACAGGAAGAAGACACACAGGGAAGAAGCAGGGGAGTTGGACTGGATCGGGTTTAGAAATGAACTTTAGGCTTGTTTTGGGCCAACCGAGTGTGAAGACGCTGATGACACCTTATCAAAATTAAGACAGACTGGCCCACTTCGAGAATTCCAAATGAAGTTTGAGCGTTTGGGCAACAAGGTTTGAGGTTGGACTCAAAACAGTTTAGTTGGCTCTTTTATGGGTGGGCTCAAGCCCGAGATTGCAGATAGGATCCGTTTGTTTCGGCCCAATTTGCTAAAGGAGGCCATCAGCTTGGCCCGAAGGAGAGAAGATCAATTAGATCGATTGAGGCAGTCTACCCGAACTGGACGACTCAACTCCAATACTCAGACACAAACCCTAACTATCGCGTCTTCATCTCCAGGTGCTCCAATACCAAAATTGACCAAACGGTTGTCTTGGGAGGAGATGCAGAAACGGTGAGCCTAGGGTTTACGCTTCAACTGTAACGAGAAGTTTGTGGCCAGTCATCGGTATCGCAAACCTCAAATGCTGCTACTTGAAGGAGAAGATGAAGATGAAGAAATGACCGAGGCTGGGGAACCAGAAATTTCCCTTAATGCTTTTTTAGGTTGGTCGACAGGCCGGAGCATGAAGACCGTCGCTTCCATTAACAACCAGAAGATAGTGGGTCAACTCACAAATTATCAGTGAGCAGCTCGCCAATCAGCTTCACCTTCCTGTCATTCCAACCAAATCCTTTCCGGTACGAGTTGCCAGTGGACAACCCATGAGGTGTCGAGAAAGATTTGAACGGGTTCCGGTGGAAATACAAGGTATCAAATTTTTCCTCACTTTTTATGCACTACCATTGACTGGGTTGGCTTTGGTTTTGGGAGTATAATGATTATCCAAATTTAGGCATGGTCGTTTGTGATTGGCAAAACATGACGATGAAATTCAAATGGGAAGGACAGATGCGGCTCCTTCGTGTGCTACCCACATAGAATCTGAATCACTTACCATAAAGCTAAAATTACAAAAATTGGTTTCCAAATTTTCTGACATTTTTCAGGATCCAGATGGGTTGCCGCCCGTTAGAGAAGTTGAGCACTAGATTGTTCTTCGGGAAGGTACAGAACCGATTAATGTCCGACCTTATCGGTATGCTCATTTTCAGAAAATAGAAATTGAAAGACAAGTTAAACAAAATGTTGGATTTTGGTTTAATTAGACCCAGTACTAGTCCTTTTTCATCACTAGTATTACTGGTACGCAAGAGGGATGGGACATGGCGTTTTTGTACTGACTACTGCGCTTTTAATTTGGCAATTGTGAAAGACAAGTTTCCGATACCCACTGCAAACGATATGCTCGATGAATTACATGGAGCTCAATTCTTTACTAAATTGAATTTAACAACCGGATATCATCAAGTACGAGTTCATCCTGCAGATATTTACAAAACAGCATTTCGAACACACAAAGAGCATTCTGAATACCTGGTAATGTCATTTGGGCTATGCAATGCTCCATCCACTTTTCAAGCTATCATGAACTCAATTTTTCGTCCCTATCTACGTAAGTTCGTGTTGGTATTTTTTGATGATATCTTAATCTATAGTAGCAGTTGGGTTTTGCATCTTGAACATATTGAGCAGGTATTTAATACTCTCAAGCAACATCAATTCTTTGTCAAATTAAAGAAATGTGTATTTGGTGAGCAAGAATTAAAGTATTTAGGGGCATATTATCACACCGCAAGGGGTAAAGGTAAATCATCATAAAATTCAGGCAATGGAGTCTTGGCCCCGTCTAACTACTATCATAGAACTTTGGGAATTT